ATTTAACTTCTGTTGCACCTTCAGGCGTGGAAAATTGTATTTTACTGATCTCAGAAGAAAAATACGAAGTATACGTTTTATATGTGAGCACGATGCTCCATTCATTCTATGTAAAATACATGTATAGTTTATATTTCAGAAAAATATAACAGCTTGAGATTTTACTGCATATATTTAGGCAAATCGAATGTTCAAGTACTATATAGAAGCGACACGCAATCTTTCATGCAGCGGGGGAAAGTATCTTTCAGTATAGGTATCGCTTATATTTTTATGAGATATATCGATTGAGGTGTAAGATTATAATCGTAATACTGTTTGTGTTTGGACGAAAACGATCTTGAACAGAATATAACAAAACATTTATAGAACGTTAATTATATTCGTTCGCATTTGTTTTATAAATTTAAAACTGTTTGTTTCAATAAGGCCTTTTTATAAAACTAGTTAAAATATTGAAATTCATAATAGAATTTCGGATCTAGGTCTTTGGTTTATTAAAACTTTTCGAACTAAAATTTTCAAAATAACAGCCTTCTTAATTTATGATATGGACAGAAAGCCATTTACAAATAACATTTTTCCTATATTCCTAAATTATAATTTATAAAACAATCCTCAAAACAAATAAAAAAAGAATAAAAAATATTTTTTTTGAATGAGAAGAATGTACTGACGTTATTTATTATTCATTAATATTCGTATTTAAAAATATTCAGTTGATTTTATTTGACCAGAATAATTTATACCCCGGAAAAAATGCGTACACCTGTGGTTTTTAATGATTTGCTGAACTTTATTTTACATATACCATTCACTTTTATATAGATGTTAACGATATTCCTGTTTGCGTTTTACTTTTTAATATTCCAGTAGTCTAAATGAGCACAGGCAGGCTTTAGGATTTCGAATGAAATTTTATGTAAATATATAAAAATGTAAGTACAGAGAGTAAGTTTTTATTTCAGTTATATTCTGGGGTAGGTAAATTTAGTAGTGTTACTAATCTGGCTTAGTTATTATAAATGCCTGAAAGTTTACATAAATCATGGGTTAAATATTCCGTTTGGTAAATTGCCGTCTAAGCATATTTAAAACTGATGCGAGAGAGCATTTATTCCACATAATATATCAAAATTTAGTGACATTATTACTATTAAACTTTATTATCAACGACTTTTGAACTTCGGCAATACCTCACTCTTTTATATTATCAAACAAAATGTGTAGCAAGAATATAGAGTAAATACAGGAAATACCGGATAGTATCGCAACAAAAAAATATTTGCTACATAGACTACCATAAATACTTCTAGAAATATTTTGTTAATGTTGATTCCTATTTTAGTACACATAATATAGAAATATATATTACATTCAAATAAACAAAAACGTTTGTTAATTTAAGTTGGTCTAACTTATCTTATTTTGATCCCACAAGTCTATGGTCGAGCGGTATCCCAACCCTTGTGTATCTGTGTCTATCTAATAATAAATCGTATTGAATAACGGTTTACAAATTGTGTTTAAAGGCTGATTTTTTCCGGGCATTCTAATTCTGAATTGTTTACTTCAGTAGTTGCAACTACTATGTAAGATCAGATGGATCACGAAGCATTGTTCTTAGATTTTAAGGAAGTGGATGTATCTAACGCCAGACAATTATTTTTGAATGTATACTACTTACAAGGAATCAAGGTCTGGGTGTAAACATTTGAACTTCAAGATAAAGGTTTTGCATATTGTTTTATGACATATGTAAAATATATACAGGGTGATCTATTAACGGTATCGAGCGGCTGTATATAGGAAACTAGACGTGTTACGATTATGGGCTAAAAAATCTATTAACAAATATGACCAAAAGAAATTGATTTAAAATATTTTCAAGATTGTAACTTCACCGCTAGGGGGCGCAACAGCAATAGTGTTACAGAAAATTGTCGGTTATTCGAAATTTCGCTTATAGAACCTAAATTGAAATTTTTTGACATTTTTTAGATACACTGTTAAACCCTTCACAAGTTTTGTTTGAGCTTTTTTTTTTTGTTATTACCATAGCAACGTCAGTATAAAGGACGCTATATTGAAATGTTTAAATTGTCATAACTTCTAAATGCCTTAATTGATTTCAATAAACGATGGCTCATTTTAAAGAACTGTTAATAAAATTTATATTTATGATATAGGAATATAAATATTATTTTCCTGCACAACGGTAGGTAAACGGCGCTAATGAGAAAAGTTTTTTAATTGTCTCCGTTTACTAAAAAAAAATTAAATGCAACGATATAGGTTTTTTTTCATGGCTTGATAGACCATTCACTATGGAAAACAAATACACAAACCGGAGGTCGATATCTTTTTCGTTTTCAAGTTATTGGTAAAATAGTGAAGTTGTGCTAGAACATCCTCCTTAATTTAGTTCTCTAAATGACGTTGACATAATCCAAGCCAAAATTGAATTGTAAAACTATACCAATCTTTTCCTTAAAAAGAATTATTGCTTTATTTTGAAATTTTTTTGATAATTGCAATATTTCATTTTTTTATTAATTCCAAATATCTGAGTAGTTATAAAAATTATTGTTTCCATAACGAATGAGGCTTTGTCCTATGAAAATAGATGCGCAAAATTAGTGCCATTCGAGTGAGAAAAATACTTGTGTTCCATATGCAATTCCCAGGTCTCTAACTAATTTCCTTAGACTTATTTGGGGATTTACGTGGATACAAGTCAACATATTAATAATATTGTCTTCTGTTCTTGCACGGCGATGTCTTCTTACAGAGTGTAGTAGCGCCTGGATAAACGCTGAAATACGTCTCTGGAGTAGCGTATTCTACGAGGCAAAACGTATTCTCTTGAAGCTGTAACGGCATATTTGAAACATTGAAAATAAACTGCCAACATATCATACGCTTCCACATTCGTAAAAGGCATTTTCCTTGTTCACAAGTACTTTTACAACACAAATAACACTAATTTTGCACGTAGCAAGAGCTGTCACATTTCGTTTGGCATAATTTTTCAGTTGTCTATTTTCATAGGGCATAGCCTGCCTCGTTATGGAAACAATAATCTTTATAACTACTCAGATATTTGGAATTAATAAAAGAATGTAACATTGCAGTTATCAAAAAAATTTCAAAATAAAGCAATAATTTTTTTTAAGGACAAGATTGGTATAGTTTTACAATTTAATTTTGTCTTGGATTATGTCAATGTTATTTAGAGAAATAAATAAAGGATGATGTTCTAGCCCAACCTCATTATTTTACCAATAACTTGAAAACGAAAAAAGATATCGACCTCCGATTTGTGTATTTGTTTCCCATAATAAATGGTCTATCAAGCCATGAAAAAAAACCTATATCGTTGCACTTAAAATTTTTTTAGTAAACGGATACAATTACAAAACTTTTCTCATTCGCGTCGTCTACCGTTGCGCAGGAAAATAATATTTTTATTCATATATCATAAATATAAATTTTATTAATAGTTCTTTAAAATGAGCCATTGTTTATTGAAATCGGTTAAGGCATATAGAAGTTATGAAAATTTAAAAATTTCAAGATAGCGTCCTTCATACTGACGTTGCTATGGTAAATAACAAAAAAAAAGTTCAAACAAAACTTGTGAAGGGTTTAACACTGCAGCTAAAAAATTTATTTTCAATTTAGGTTATACAAGCGAAATTTCGAAAAACTGACAATTTTCTGTAACACTATAGCAGTTGCGCCCCCTAGCGGTGAAGTTGCAAACTTGAAAATATTTTATATCATTTTCTTTTGGTCATATTTGTTAATATGTTTTTTACCCCATAATCGTAGCACGTCTAGTTTTCTATATACAGCCGCTCGATACCATTAATGGATCACCCTGTATATCCCACCTAAATTATTACTATATTCCTTAAGAATAAAAATGTTAAAATTTAATACTTCATTTCATCTTTTCTTTAGTAGGATCGGAGGATGTCGGTAAGAGGTCCGCTATTATATAGGGTGTTTGCTAAACAATGGGCAAAATTTCATCATTAGATTCTACGATGGAAATTAATACGATAAATTATATAAATATTTGTCTGCTAACACTTCATTTCTATGAAACATTGTGTCAAAGTTAAACAACATTAAACTTATCTCCTATTGAATTAATTTGACAATTAAAACCATATCTATTTCATAAATAACACATGCATAAGAAAGTGACATAAATTTAATTGACAATTATTGAATCTCTATTATCAGGTATAGGACAATATGGTGCTAGGCTAATATCATTGCAGGGGACCTTTTTTAAATAATAATATGCTACTGACTAAAATAAAAAACATACTTATTTAGAATTCTCTGATATTTTACTACAAACAAATCTTCTCTTGTTCGTAAGTCCATAAAATTCACTAATTTCAAGGTAGACTGTTCATTCAGTTCTGCACAATGTGCTTATTGTTATTGATTATAGATGTCAACTTTATGGATTGCAAGGTAAAAACAAATGCTAAATAGGAATATTATTTAGCTATGTACTAGAAATATTTTATAATAAATATTTTACAGTGTTTTAAAAAAAAAACGAATCATATTTTTGATTTCTTAAACGGAATACTCTGTATATTACTTGAACATTGAATTGCAGATATCTGTAAATTCTGTTTCTTACACAAGAATAATTTTTTTCAGTAAAATATCCATGGAACATGGGACATTCAGAAAATTTTGTGTTTTCTTTAATTCCCATTTGGCCAGATAACTGCGAGGATGAATTAGTGCCTCCTATTTTGGGAGTAAAGTATAAAGATAAAATTTTATACACGTAAATTTTCATGGAAAATGTGCTCAATGTTGGTTCATTTTAGCGAACACCCAATATAAGTATCCAATCTAAAAGATACATTTCTAATTTATAAATATAGAGAGATAATATTGCTTGTGTTCTGTCAGAGCTGAAGAAGGAAGTAAATTAAAATATTAATTAATTGTAAATACTGCACCTTTTGAACTTGGTTGCCTTTCATGTTCAGCTTAATCAAATGCAGCCCGTAGAAGCTGTAGCTGGGGAGATCGGTTATTTCGTTCGCCTCTAAATCAAGTGCTATGAGCTTATTTAATCCCTTGAATGCCTTCTGGGGTATTTCCCGGAGCCTCCCCGATACCAAGCTAAACGATTCCAATTGCGGCTTGAGTGGCAGTAAACAATCGTCGTGCAGCTCCTGGATATTGGACTGGGAGATCTGAAAATGCTTGATTACCGTCTGGTCAGGGAAGAAGTCTTTCGGCAGCCGGACTAGGGTCTTATCTGGATCGTATACGCTGAGGCTCTGGATCGGCCCGAGGATGATTTCCAGCACCGATTTGAGGGAGTCGACTGTGGCCGCTGGGCACTCCAGGAATATGCCATTCTCGAAATTGAAACAATGGCAGGACGGGTTGGCTGCTAAGCTAGGGCATTTCGTTTGGTCGGCAATGGCTTGCGAGCGGACCAAACTCGCCAGTAGTATTAGGGTGGCGCCATATTGCGCCATCATGAAGACACGCTGCGCGCCATGCCGCGGTTAACTGCCCACCATCGGCCCACTCCTTCTGCAACAAAGTGCCTCATTAACATTCAACTTCAGCTTAACAATAATACAACGATAACAGTAACAGTAAAACAGTTATTTTGTCTATAGGCATTTAACAAACCGTCTCTTCCGATTATCACAAGATCAAACATTTATTCTCTAGTCATTTATACATATCGTAGGTGTTTTAGATTTCCTTAAAAAAACATATATGAACGTAACTTGCAGAATTTTTTTAACAGCTGTTTATGTTTTTTATGTATTGTTATGTATTGTAATTGATATTTATGGCACACATTTTTTTATTGCCTTTTATTCGAGTGTTGTGATTAATTCAATACGTTATTATTAAAAAATTAAATAATCGTAAGTAGTGAAAATGGGTACCAAGGAAACGACAATGTAAAACTGTCGCTTTTGTTCCTTAAGAAGTATCAGAGATAGTATACGTGGCAATGTTAACTTTAATTCTTGAGAAGTAACAAAAGCAATATGAATTGATGTACAAATGATTCAACGATTGAAAAGTTTCGAAAAAAGTGAGTAGATGCTGACGGTACTGTTAATGATGATGATGATGATAATGATGATGATGATGATGATGATAGTGATGCTAACAACGACGACGACGATGATAATAATAGCGTTTGTTGCCCAACAGTTACCCATTTACGCAGTAATAATGTGACGACGACGACGATGACGATGTTGATGAAATAGCGGTTGCTGATCAACAGTTACCCATTTACAGAGCGATTATGCAAAAAAATATATTTCCAGTTAAGTGATTATTACTTAAAGTGTGCACCGTGTAGGTAGACATGTTTAGTATAATAAAAAATTAAATATTTTATTTGCATTGGACTGGACTGGTGCTTTTTAACAAAAAATGTTAGTTGGAAGTCTCGGAGACCTTATATCAATTATAATAAGGTAGGGTCGTCAACCTTATATAAAAGCAAATGTTGAGTTTCTACGTTTCTGCAAATGTACAGAATTAAACCTACTAAATAAATCACTATAGTCACAATCTCTTTGAGGGTAACTCGTTCAGCGGATCCGAAAATACATATACTAACGGGGTCTGATCGAAAGAACAGACCACTTTTTTGTTTTGTGATTGACGGTGAACCGTTATGGTTAAAATTTATAGAAAATGTCACCACACAGGTCTGACTGTTTGTTAGCTACCATAATGGAAAGCTTTCTGTTCAGTCGATCCGATAAGTATTCATACGTTAATACCAAGCAAATTTCGGGTGTAACTATACGGTTATCTTCAACCACACTTGTAGATGTAGGAAGATATATTTTAAAACTGAAAAAGTTATCGACGGTGGTAGAATCTTAGGTAGATAACAATTGCAAGCAAAATTGCTATATCAAATCAACTAGGAAGTAATCTGAAACAATGCCACTGGCGACTGTACTATACAGAGTTCATGATTTATGAGTAATTTACAATTTTCAGTACCAAAATTAGTACATACTGAATAACATATTGATGTTTTTACTGATAGATCTCTTAACTTTTTTCTTTTATGAAACATGGTTCTTATAAATTACTATTTTAACACGATTTTAGGTAAACAAGTATAGATAAAATAATTTTTTACAGTTACAATTTTATTCAACGATAGTCGTCTATTTAAGAAAAATTTTTTAATTTACGTTCTGTGATTTTCACCGTATCTGTATTTGATATTTGAGGTGGCACGTTGCGCTGTCGTGCTGGCTGTTGCGCTGTCGCAAAGCGCGTTTTTTCTTCATGGTACAAAGACCAGAGGTATGATATTGGGTATACTCGTGGTCTCGTTATGATGTCACGTGGAGAATAAAGTGCGATTTGTGGAAACTATCTGTGGCGAACTGCCGGACAGTGCCATTAATAATGGTAACGCATTTTTATAGCTCGGCTTTCGCATCATTTGCGTTTTAAAGTGGTGTAAATTTCATATTTGTATTGTATCTGTTTGTCATTGATCTATATAAAACTATTGATTTCTGTGGTGATTATTGACATTATCGGGTTTTAATAATGTCTACTTGAAATAGATCGTTCTATTTTTGGTTGTACGACATACAACCATTCATTTATTGAGGGCAACATGTTTTCCATTTTCTAGATATTGAAAACATTTAAATAACCTGTGCTGAGGTTTGCGGACGCAATTTGCTACAAAAATTTAAAATAATAAGAGTTAACCAAAGAAGAAGTCCAAAAGAGCTGCACAAGTCTGTATCATGGCTTTTGTTAGTATTTTGTTGTCGTTTTTGAATATTTATGTCTTCTTTATTTTCTAACGAAAACCACGTATTTATATCAAAATTGGGGTTCCTAGAAATCGAATGATGTAATTAGTAAAACACATTTTTCGAAAAATGGCTTCTTTTATAAATTCGTATTTTGTTTTATAAATAATGGCTAGAAAAAAGTAAAGTAAAAAGTAAAAATAAAAAAATAAAAAATTATTTTGAATTTCAGTCTATATTTTTAAGAATAAAATGAGGTGAAAAAAAAAACGGAAATTTGCATTTCACTTCACACTATTTCAAGATTATATGATACAAATTCAACTACACTTTTGCCCACATTAAAGTCACACTAGTGCGAATTTGGAAAACTTTTCAGACTCTCTAGTTTGGCCGACAATAACAGTCTCGGCAGCTACTACCTGAGGAATTCTGTTTAAACTAAACGGTTGTGCGAATTTGCACTAGTGTAACCTTTGAGGGATAATAATATAAGAGTATGTATATTTAGGTTAGTTTGTTTAATTAGCGAAATAACAATAAACCGGGAACTGTGTCGATCGATATCTAGGAAAGTACACATCCGAAAATATTGAAATTTTGGCAACACGGCAATGTCCCTGGGGCGAACACAAATAATATATCTAGAACTCTCCAGCACTTCCGTTATACCGGAAGTCGACACCAACTTCGTTATTTTACATGGAACACCCTATATATTATTGCATTTTCGGATTCTACGTGAAATTTTAGGGTCATTTGATTAAATAATCCCTATGGCTAGGAGTAATAGATTTCGAGATATTAATTTTTAAAGAAAAAAATTGACAGATGTAAGGGTCCGCGGAGATGCTAATAACTCTTTTCATGGGCATGATATCAAGCTGATTTTTGGTATTCGTAAAGAACTTAGACGACGCTAACTTATGGTATATCTTTAAATTCGAAAATATTATACCGAGCGTTTTATTTACGCTGTTAAATTTTGGCAAAGTAAAACAGCTATAATTTCTTAGTTTAAACGGAACACCCTATATTTTATTGCCTTGTCTTGTACACATTGAAATTTTCTTTTAAGCCATATAAGCATTGTTAGGGTTGCGATCACTACTTTTGGAGATATTTGCAAATTTCTATTTTATTATTTCTATTTTCGCAGTTTTCATCATATCTGAAGTGTTATCAAAATTGCCCTGGACATAAACATGTCAAAAATAACAAAAGTAACTTGGCTTGTTTCAAATATTCTTGTGTGTGGTGTTACTAAACTAAACTAAAATATAAACTCGTTATAATATTTTATTAATTATAATTTTCGGTGTGTACTTTCCTAGATATCGATCGACACAGTTCCCGGTGGGACACCCTGTATACACACTTAACTATATAGAGTGTCGTTTATGGTGTATAAAATTAAAAACCTGATTCCTGATTATGAACGAAGGAAATTCGTATAATTATAGCGCAACTATGAGATAGCCAACTTTTTACGAACGCATTTAATATTTTGGCGCATGCGCCAGGTGAAATAATATTAAATATTTCTATAAATTTACGGTTAGTTTTTTTATAAACTAGAGGTCAGTTTTGAAGCTTTGTTTTACTAAAACAAAGGTCGGTTAATGGCTTTGTCAACATCAATACTGGGTCTATCTTTAAGGTAATAAAAAAACAGAATGTATCACTTAAATATATGAATATCCTTCTCTTATTCAAAAGTGTATCAAAGCATAAAATATGACGAACACATTTTTACATAAATCCTCAGTTTTTCAGACTGATTTCGCAATTTATATCAGCTTCTTTATGGCTTTATTATTTATGTGATGCAGTGCCTCTCAAAAGTAAAATTTTCTTTTAGCGGATGCCATAAATTTGCGGCACATTTAACCATATATTTCGTCGTAAAAGACGTATATGTTGCTAAGATTATTTCGCCCGTAGATCTGAGGCAGTCGAGCAAATACCTAAATGCTTTATAAATATGTGACATTTTCCTTGCAGTTTCAGGAAATTTAGATGTATATGAATTTTGACACGAACATTGATAAAATTGGTTTAAATATTTACTAATCAACTTTTATATAATATAAAAATGTAATTAATAGTGTTATTAAATAAATGAATTCAAACAACCCGGGTGGTTAATAGAAAATATGGTATTTCTAACTATATGGGACCAAGTGAGAAACAAGAGACAAAAGGAGAAACTTTTATTTTGCTTTAAGGTATTAACATGTTTGTGGATGGCTACTACATAAGTAGTGTTCTTGTTGTGCTCAGATGGGTTCAATATGAAGAACATATACTTTTTTAATATTCATGCTTAACATGACAAAACTTATCAGTAGAATCAGTAGAACGTTTGCCATATGAACCGTTTTGTAATGTGGAGAGGCCTTTGCCTTGGCCTCCTAGATCACCAGAACTTAATCCCCTTGACTACTATGTATGAGAAACTTTGAAAGATGATGTTTACTCTGTACTAATCGAAGACAGAAATCAGTTGCAGGGAAGAATAATAGACGCCTCTGACAATCTCAAGCAGAGGCCAGATGAAATCATCGCGGGAATAAATTCTTTGATACCAAGATGTGAAATGTGTATTAATGCAGCAGGCGGGCATTTTGAACAACTTCGTTAGATGTTATGTAGCTGTAATTATTTTTAATAGTTTTATTAAACATTAATTAATGAATTGATACAGTAAT